TTCAAGTGTACTGTGAGATACATAGGTTGAAAAACACTGGCTTCTGGGGACATGTTCTGAGAAGTGCGTTGTTAGACACATTGTTGTACAAACATCATAGAGTACACATACCAAGCCTAGATGGAGTGAGTGGCCTGCTACTCACCTAGGCTGTATAACATAGCCCCATTACTCCTAGGCCACAAACCTGCACAGCATATTAACTGTACTGAATACTCTAAGCAGTTGGAACACAATAGTGCGTATTATGTATCAAAGCATGTCAAAAGATAAAAAAGGTACAGTAAAAATATGGTATAAAATATAAAAAAATGGCATACCTATATGGGGTATTTACCATAAATGAAAGTTCCAGGGCTAGAAGTTGCTCTGGGTGAGTCATTAAGTAATAAGTGAATATAAAGGCCTAGGATAGTACTGTAGAATTTATAAACACTGGCCACTTAGGCTGCACTGAATTTATTCAAAAAATAAAGTACTTATGATACAGTGTCACTAGGATTTTTCAGCTCCTTTATAATTTTAAGGGAATACTGTCACATATATTATCCATTATTGACTAAAATATCATGTGGGACGTGACTGTATAAAAATATATATTTATGTTATAAATGTGTATGTAACAAACTACTCAAAAATGTATAAAGAATAAAACCCAGTGTCACCAATGCAGTGGCTCACACTTACACAATCTCAGCTACTGTAGAGTCAGGAGCATGGCTTGAATTCTGGAGTTTGAGGTTGCAGTAAGCTATGATGATGTCACTGCACTATAGCCTGAACAACAGAATGAGTCCTCATCTCTAAGAATAAAATAAAAATAAAATGGACAGAATTATAGTTATAGGGCCAGAAGATGCTCCTTTGAAACAAATTGACCCAAACTGTAATAAAAATCATTTAGAGGTTATGGAAAAAGAACAAGGGCTTTAGGGTCAGGAGACCTGTGTTGGACACCCTGCTTTGCTCTGTGAAATTGGGGAAGTTATTTAATCATTCCGAGTCATGGAAATTCTTGTACAAAACAGTGAATAAAACCTTTCATGAGGTAATGTAAGTAAAAGTCTTTTAACCATCTGATTTTGAGTAGGCTTCGTTACATCGTGGGTCTCACTAGATCAGATTCCTAAACCTGACCCATATTGTAGAAAGATCAAGACAGTGCCTGATAGATACTTTTTTTTTTTTTTTGAGACAGAGTCTTACTTTGTTGCCCTTGGTAGAGTACCATGGCATCACAGCTCACAGCAACCTCAAACTCTTGGGCCCCAAGCCTTTCCACAGAGCACATTATGTAGTAAAGTGTGATCTGTGGAAGAAGAGCATCTAGGCTCGGCTTTGGCAGAGTGGTGTGGAAACCCGCTGGACAGCCACCTTCTGCGCTCTGTAGAGAAAGAATGAAGCAGCAGTCCCTGGGCTAGAAAGACATTTGTCATAATACATAATCCTTCCTCTTCCTGCTGATGACAGATGAGCTGCCTCATGAAACTCTGGGCCATAAAAAGAAGAATAAATAATTTTCCCTAAAACTGTGTATAACATTAGTATTTATAGAAGAAAGAGAATGTTCTTTCATTCCTTTAACCTAGTTGGGCAGTTTGTGTTCCTTTTGGTGTATGTGGAGGGTATTCTTGATTTTATTTTGTTTTGTTTTGTTGAGACAGAGTCTCAAGCTGTCGCACTGGGTAGAGTGTCAACCTCCAACTCTTAGGCTCAAAGAATCCTTTTGCCTCAGTTTTTGTATTTTTAGTAGAGACAGGAGTCTCACTTTTGCTCAGGCTGGTATCAAACTCGTGAGCTCAAGCGATCCACCTGCCTTAGCCTTCCAGAGTGCTAGGATTATAGGCGTGAGCCACCTTACCCAGCCAGTATTTTTTATTTTATAGTGAATTTTATTTGGATTCTAAAATAAGATCTCACTTAATCTTCATATCCTTCAGCCTGTAATTGCCATAGAAGCTGCTTGTGACTTTACACTTTGAGTATGTTAATCATAGTTCTATCCCAAATAATCTCTGTTCCCTGAACCCGAGTTTCTCAATCTGTAAATTTAAACTCTTTACTACCAAGTCCAACAAAGAATGAAATTCACTTAGCCTTAAAACTGCTGTTAAGCTGACAAATGAGCCCAGTTGGTAGTATTCTCATTGTCAAAGATTTCTGTTCTCTTTTATCTGAAAAATTCCAAAAGACCTCATAGAATGCTAGAATGAGGAGGTAAGAGGAATTACTGTGACATGCATCCTCTTATAAAAAAAGAAACACAGGGCGGTGCCTGTGGTTCAATGAGTAGGGCACTGGCCCCATACACTGAGGGTGGAGGGTTTGAACCCAGGCATTGTGGCAGGCACCTGGAGGCTGAGTCAGGAGAATCGCCTAAGCCCAAGAGCTGGAGGTTGCTCAACCGAGGGCAACAAAGTGAGAGTCCATCTCTAAAAAAAAAGAACCAGAAACTAAAACCTTGTCCTTATTTTGCTATATTTGTAATAGGGGGCTCAGTGCTCCCCTAGGACTCAGAAAGGTTAGACATTCAGGAGGGGAAGCTACATAACTACCTATATAAAGCCTCTAAGTCAGAGAATGCCCGTGTCCTGAGCTGCATGTTACCACCACCATATGTCAACAGTTACAACCCAGGAGCACTGCAAAGTACTCGGGATTCAAGTCCTGGAGATGATGAGTCCCCATCCACCTCATCTAGCACTGGGAGTTCTTCTGTGCCAGGTAAGGCGCTCTGCTAGGTAGGACTCCTCTGGGCCTGCCCCTGGGAAATAGATGAAACCTAATCTTGCCTTTTCAGCTGGCTGATCTTCTTCAGCCCAGGCTCAGATATATATCTGTGTGTCTCTTCACTTGAATGTGTATTACCAGCCCATTGCTGGCTTGGAAGGAATTCTAGGAGCAAACTGAACTACTCGATGAAGGATCTGGGTGCATCAGGAACAGTGATCCTGAGGCACATGGTCTCCCCTAGGATTGAACTGAGTCAGGATAGTGCCTGACAGTGGCAGCCTGCCCCTTGGCCTATAGAGGACAGGCAATTGTGAGGGGTGGTAGACAGGCCACTGAGTTCCTTACTAGGTGGTCAGTTCACAGTGTTGTAAGTTAGTAAATTTAGTTTTTTTGACTAAAGACCTACCAGGGTATTACTTCGACCCGGAAAAGAAACGCTACTTCCGCTTGCTCCCTGGACATAACAACTGCAACCCCCTCACAAGGGAGAGCATCCTGCAGAGGGAAATGGAGAAAAAAAGATTGCAGCTGCTTGAGGAAGAGGACAATCAGAAAAAGGTGGGCTCCACACCCTTAGGGTCACCCTCTCCCCTCCACTCCTGCCAGTACCCATCCATCCGATGCTAAAAGAGATGTCTGTTAAATGCCCCTGTGACAGTTAGCTTGGACACTTTAGGACATGTGACCCCAGATAGTCCCTAAGAAGAAATGATGATAAGAATAAGAGCAAGCAAGAAATCCTTTCCTCCCACCTCCCATTTTTTGTTTGCTAAGTATCACC